AGTGTAGAAATCGGATGGCATACATTTTTTTCCGGATTTCATCGTTCTAGGGTGTGTACTACAACAACAAACTTTTTTTTTACAAAAAATGTTACTATAGCCGTATATATAAAATTATATATAAGTGCTATCGGACGATCTTGTGCACGATAAAAACCTATATAGAACTTTAAGTTGGAAGTGTAGAAATCGGATGGCATACATTTTTTTTCGGATTTCATCGTTCTAGGGTGTGTACTACAACAACAAACTTTTTTTTACAAAAAATGTTATTATGGAAGTATATATAAATTGCTATATAACTGCTATCGGACGATCTTGTGCACGATAAAAACCTATATAGAACTTTAAGTTTGAAGTGTAGAAATCGGATGGCATACATTTTTTTTCGGATTTCATCGTTCTAGGGTGTGTACTACAACAACAAACTTTTTTTTACAAAAAATGTTATTATGGAAGTATACATAAATTGATATATAACTGCTATCGGACGATCTTGTGCACGATAAAAGCCTACATAGAACTTTAAGTTGGAAGTGTAGAAATCAGATGACAAACATTTTTTTCCGGATTTCATCGTTCTAGGGTGTGTACTTCAACAACAAACTTTTTTTTTACAAAAAATGTTATTATGGAAGTATATATAAATTGATATATAACTGCTATCGGACGATCTTGTGCACGATAAAGACCTATATAGAACTTTAAGTTGGAAGTGTAGAAATCGGATGGCATACATTTTTTTCCGGATTTCATCGTTCTAGGGTGTGTACTACAACAACAAACTTTTTTTTACAAAAAATGTTACTATAGCCGTATATATAAAATGATATATAAGTGCTATCGGACGATCTTGTGCACGATAGAAACCTTTATAGAACTTTAAGTTGGAAGTGTAGAAATCGGATGGCATACATTTTTTTCCGGATTTCATCGTTCTAGGGTGTGTACTACAACAACAAACTTTTTTTTTACAAAAAATGTTACTATAGCCGTATATATAAAATGATATATAACTGCTATCGGACGATCTTGTGCACGATAAAAACCTATATAGAACTTTAAGTTGGAAGTGTAGAAATCGAATGGCATACATTTTTTTCCAGATTTCATCGTTCTAGGGTGTGTACTACAACAACAAACTTTTTTTTTACAAAAAATGTTAATATAGCCGTATATATAAAATGATATATAAGTGCTATCGGACGATCTTGTGCACGATAGAAACCTATATAGAACTTTAAGTTGGAAGTGTAGGAAACAGATGGCATACATTTTTTTGTAGATTTCATCGTTCTAGGGTGTGTACTACAACAACAAACTTTTTTTTTAAAAAAATGTTACTATAGCCGTATATATAAAATGATATATAACTGCTATCGGACGATCTTGTGCACGATAAAAACCTATATAGAACTTTAAGTTGGAAGTGTAGAAATCGGATGGCATACATTTTTTTCCGGATTTCATCGTTCTAGGGTGTGTACTACAACAACAAACTTTTTTTTTTACAAAAAATGTTACTCTAGCCGTATATATAAAATGATATATAAGTGCTATCGGACGATCTTGTGCACGATAGAAACCTATATAGAACTTTAAGTTGGAAGTGTAGAAATCGGATGGCATACATTTTTTTCCGGATTTCATCGTTCTAGGGTGTGTACTACAACAACAAACTTTTTTTTTACAAAAAATGTTACTATAGCCGTATATATAAAATGATATATAAGTGCTATCGGACGATCTTGTGCACGTTAAAAACCTATATAGAACTTTAAGTTGGAAGTGTAGAAATCGGATGGCATACATTTTTTTCCGGATTTCATCGTTCTAGGGTGTGTACTACAACAACAAACTTTTTTTTTACAAAAAATGTTATTATGGAAGTATATATAAATTGATATATAACTGCTATCGGACGATCTTGTGCACGATAAAAACCTATATAGAACTTTAAGTTGGAAGTGTGGAAATCGGATGGCATACATTTTTTTCCGGATTTCATCGTTCTAGGGTGTGTACTACAACAACAAACTTTTTTTTACAAAAAATGTTATTATGGAAGTATATATAAATTGATATATAACTGCTATCGGACGATCTTGTGCACGATAAAAATCTATATAGAACTTTAAGTTGGAAGTGTAGAAATCGGATGACATACATTTTTTTCCGGATTTCATCGTGCTAGGGTGTGTACTACAACAACAAACTTTTTTTTTACAAAATATTTTATTATGGAAGTATATAGAAAATTATATATAACTGCTATCGGACGATCTTGTGCACGATAAAAACCTATATAGAACTTTAAGTTGGAAATATACAAATCGGATGGCATAATTTGTTTTGTGGATTTCATCGTTCTAGGGTGTGTACTACAGCAACAAACTTTTTTTACAAAAAATTTGACTATATCCGTATATAGAAAATTATATATAACTGCTATCGGAAGATCTTTGCACGATAAAAACATATATAGAACTTTAAGTCGGAAGTGTAGAAATCGGATGGCATAATCTGTTTGAGATTTTAGGTAGGGTCAACTGTGGACCGACCCTTACAAAATTCAACAGATAAATTTTGTTTCATTTAAGCCAGTTATGAGTGGTAGTAATTTCCCGAGGTGGACCTTATATCGGGGATAGGTTAAATTATGGACCGATCCCCTTAAATTTGACAAAACGATGTTGACTCCTTGTTTATGTGGAATTTCTTTGCTATATTGGTATTTTTATTACAATTATTGGAGTTAATATCTTTTTCTGAAGGGGAACTTATATGGGGGTAGGGTCAATTTTAAACCAACCCAGAAAGGTTTTGGATCATATAAATCTTGTAAAATAATTTCCTGATCCTCATAAAATTTGGCAAAAAGATTTTAGTTCCTATAAAACTTGTTTTTGTCGTTCTTTTTCGCTATACTGGAATATTGAAGCTCAATAATAAACTCCATCAACTAAAAATATTTTGGCAAATATTGGCTAAGATCCTAGTCTATACTTTTATGGATTTTAGACCAATATTTCGGTGTAAAAGTTCCTTGGCTCCCTGATGAGTTTATCGTATACCGATATTGTCCATTTTCAATAACAAACTCAATCTTAGACTGTAATAAGATCCCAGCATATACTTTTATGGATATTAGACCAATATTTCAATGTGTTACAAACGGTGTAAAATGTTCCTTGACTCCCTGATGGGTTGTGTCTTCCAAGTGGTGATTTAGCGATCTTGAAAGTGACGGAACTAATAGGGAATCACATTGTTCGCCGGTCTCTGGTAAAATTTTAGGTTGATAGTCATGCTGCATTTAAAGCATTAATATGTCATAGCTGTATTCTTGCATAGTCGTAGAATGAAGAAAAGATCTAAGTATTATTATGAGACCGTTTACAATAAGGCTGTGTTGGGTACCAGGACCCTGCAATATACACAAATGAGGTATCTGGCGAACTGATACGATGAGGCTCGAATCTTGTCCCATATGAACGGAACAAGAAGTTAAAGCCACCCCTTTTTCATTTTTTAGGTTGATCTCCGGTGGATTCCGTGACTCTTTCAACCAGTCATGGAATATAGAATGAATTGCACATTATATATGGCCGTTTTAAAAATACTTGATTCTAATGAAACCGGGATTATTATTGGGGTAGATGGTGTACACCAAGAACACTTGCACTGGCTATAAAACATTATTAAAATACATAAATTTTTCTTAGCACAAAATAAATATGTCTAGTAATTTGTTTTTGTTTCATTTGTTTACGTTTTTACAGAAACTCACCACACAACAATCAAAAACAGCTGTTAGGGTTTGCTGTTTTATCAAAAGGTTGTTTTATTAACGGGTATCGAAAAAAGTTGAATAAAGTTGAAAAAAGTCGAAGAAAGTCGAAAAAAGTCGTAAAAAGTCGAAAAGTCGGAAAAAGTCAAAAAAAAAGTAGAAAAAAGTCGTAAGTCGGAAACTCGAAAATTGTAGAAACATGTCAAAAATAGTCAAAAATTTTAAAAAAGTGGAAAAAAGTCAAAAACCCTAAAATAGTCGGAAAAACTCGAAAAAAGTCAAAAAATAGTCGGAAAAAAGTAGAAAGAAGTCGAAAATAGTCAAAAAGTCGAAAAAATTGAAAAGTCGAAAAAAGTCGGTAAAAGTCGAAAAGTCGACTATTTATAAAATACTTATAGTCGAAAACTCTAAAAGTCGACTTTTATTTAAATGAAAAAAGTAGAAAAGTCGAAAAATCGACTTTTCATAAAATGCAAAAAGTCGAAAAGTCGACTTTTACCTAAATGAAAAAAGTCGAAAAGTCGACTTTTCGTTTCAACTATAGAACCCTAGTGATTAATCATACACTATGATCTCGACTCCTTATGGACTCGTTTACATCTCTATTCTTTACTCCTTTTCTATATCATCTTTACTGTCTCTATCGCTATTTTTCCCATCCAAACATTTTTCCTTCCTTCTCTTGATTCTTTCCAGACGTTACAAAGGGACCTAATAGGACCCAAGTAAAGCTTTACTCATGGTAGTAAGCAGTCTGCTGAACCTAAACATGCAGTTACTCGGGTACCACATCAGTCTGTGATATCAGATTATAATGTTGTACATGATATGGTCCGTAAAGGAAAAATTAAAGCATTTGTTGTTTTTTGCTTTATCTATTATAAATCACATATACAGCAGGAACTATATTGGTCTTATCTGACCAAAATGAGAGAGCAATCGATTCGTGAGAGTTATGTCGATAGGAAATTGTTTAATATGAGCTCATGCCGGAGATTAAAGTCTTCTTAAGATGACGATTCTTAGGTTAGTTTTAACAACGCAAACGCATCTATCATGGATGCAAGTGATGCTGCTGCTTATAGGTTATATAAATTTTCCTTTAAAGGTCAATGTTTAATCATTCTAAATCCCCAACATATTAAATTGGTGCCATCATTCTAAATTCTAAACGCCACTAACTCCTTCCAATTATTTATTCTCCTTTCAGACTATAAAAAGACTGCCTGTGATCGTGAACGTACACGTATGCGTGATATGAATAAAGCATTCGATCTATTGCGATCGAAATTACCCATTTCAAAGCCGAATGGTAAAAAATATTCCAAAATTGAAAGTCTACGGTAAGAAATTCGATTTTAGAAGTATATCCTGATTAAATTTAAGTAATATTTTATATTAACTCTATAATTTCAGCATAGCCATCAATTATATAAATCATTTGCAGAAAGCTCTTAATGATACTACTGTAAATCCAAATAGTCAAACAGCTGTTGAATATCTAACCGATTTAAATTCACGAAGACGTTCTCATTCAAATCATAAATCAAATACTTTCGATGATGTTGAGGATAAACTGGAGAATTTGGATGAATCCCGTAGTACATGGAGTGGTGATGGTTATATAGCAAATAGTCAGGATAAATGGGAGTGAAGGGGCTTGAACTTTTTATTATAAAAAAATACCAAAGATTTAAGAAGTTTTAAAACAAATCTTAATTAGAAATTAAATTGCTTTTTTGAGTATAAATATTGTTTTTATTACGAATTAGAGTAAAGGGGTTTGAAACGAAATATATACTGAGCTTAGTTTTCGAGGGAAGATATCGGTTCTACACCATTTCAATATGTATTTCAAAACATTTTGATTGTATTGGAAAATTTTGAAATATTGAATAAATAGAAGATTAAAATAATTCAATGGGATTCGAACTTAGGACAGAAGTACTATCAAGAACACCGAATTTCAAAGAATTATTTTGAAAATTGCAACTTGTAGTTTAATGTTATGGTTATTTCGAAAGAGGTTGTGAACCGATTGGGACAATTCATCAAGTAATAATAATAATAATACATAGATATATTAAAAAAAATTCTAAACTAAGACGACCCCGGCTGGTGTCGAACCGCTAATCTTAATCTTAACTTCAAATAAAAAAGGCATTCACGAAAGTTTCAAGCAACCAAGCCACTGTTAAAGCTATTTATAGAATATTTTAATAAACATTTCGACAAAAATTTGATATTTTAGGTAATGAATATGTTATTACCAAGTAATGCCATTAGTAAGGGGTTGTAATAATACATACAAATAACCAAATATTTTAAGCTATAGTTTAAGTTCCATTTTCTATTTTTCTACATTAACTAGTTAATACTGTAAAATAAAATATTTATTCTACAAACAATGTAACAATTAAGTACAATTTGTTTATGATAACATTTATAGATTAACGAAATATAATTTCCCATACAAACATAGGCACATACATATGTATATATTTCAACATTTCTAATTGCAAATTTCACTCAGAATATTAAATTTCACTTTATTTTTAAATTTGCATTTTTTTTTTCAAAATTTATATGTAATCTGATCGTTATGAGCTTTTATAAAGCTTTTGGCAAATTTGCGATAAGCGCTCCAGTGGCGCAATTGGTTAGCGCACGGTACTTATAATCAGTAACTTGTGAGCAATGCCGGGGTTGTGAGTTCGAGCCTCACCTGGAGCAGCAAATCGAAATTTTTTAAAATTATATTTAATTAAAAAATAACTATTATAAATTAGCTTATTAACATAAAAAGTAAAGGAAAGACCATAAAACAATTTGTGTGCGTTAGAAATTTAAAACAATAACAAACAAGAATGAGAGAGATAGACAGAATTCTAGAAAATGATGACGACAGAACTACCTACCTACACATGTATAATAATTTAATTTCTTCTCTAAACGCCAGAGAATTCATTCATAAAAAATAAAAGCACTTTTTCTTAAATATGTATTCAAACAAATTATGATTCACAACTTGTTGTGCCAGGCATGGAAACTTTTCGAATTTTTTCGACTTTTTCAGACTTTTCGATTTTTTCGACTTTTTGACTATTTTCGACTTCTTTCGATTTTTTTTCGACTATTTTTTGACTTTTTTCGAGTTTTTCCGACTATATTAGAGTTTTTTACTTTTTTTTACACTTTTTTAAGATTTTCGACTATTTTTGACTTGTTTCTACAATTTTCGAGTTTTCGACTTTTTCCGACTTTTTTCGACTTTTCGACTTTTTACGACTTTCATCGACCTTTTTCGACTTTATTCGACTTTTTTCGACTTATCGACTTTCAGACTTTTCGACTTTTTTCGACTTTTATTAACAAAGTCGACTTTTCGACTTTTTTCACAGACCATAGTCGAGTTATCGACTTTTTTGGAACAAAATAGTCGACTTCGACTTTTCGACAAAAAGTCGATTGTTCGATTATTCGAAAGTCGATTTATAGAACCCTACCTCAAATCGTCGGGTCTAATAAGGCCAGTGAAGATATAAAAGCTACATTTACATTTTTTCATTCGATTTACAATTACTACTATTTCTAATTACTTGTAATCGCGTGTGGAAAGTACTTGCCTCCAATGACATCACCGTGTTACAATAATGACTTAAAATGCTATTGTGTAAGTAAATTTTAGCATTTTAACCACTTACATCGTAGTGATAGCTTTTACTGGGTAGTCCTTATATTAGTTTTACAAGTCCATAGAATAGTTAATCGACTTTGCATTGAGTAGTACAAAGACCAGTTAATAGATTAGTTAATAAACTAACCAATAGTCTACTCTTGTCAATTGCTTAGTCTTAGACTAGTCAATAGGCTACTTTATAGAATATATTTGGAATTAGGTCCAGTTCATAGAAAATGGACTATATACATCTCATCCCATTTTATGCATCCTCCTTTCAACCTAAAATATTACATTCTTATACGATCTAACCATGATACATCAGTCTATTACGTTGTGAAATCTGAAAATTTGTATTAATATCCTCCATTGATATTGAAATTAGTCCACGATTTCAGTCACACAGTTTAAACTGTCATAAATATGATAAAAATCGTGATAAAAAGGTGTAAAAGTTAACTTTATGTACCCAGAAATATCTGAAAATGTGTTTGATTATCCCCAAGAGAATATCATTAATCCTAGGGTTCTATAAATCGACTTTCGAATAATCGAACAATCGACTTTTTGTCGAAAAAAAACGAAGTTGACTATTTTGCTCCAAAAAAGTCGATAACTCGACTATCGTCTACGAAAAAAAGTCGAAAAGTCGACTTTGTAAATAAAAGTCGAAAAGTCGTACTGGTCGGAAAATGTCGATAAAGTCGGAAAAGGTCGAAAAGTCAAAAGAAATCGAAAGAAGTCGGCTTTTAATTAAATGAAAAAAGTCGAAAAATCGACTTTTCATAAAATGCAAAAAGTCGAAAGGTCGACTTTTAACTAAATGCAAAAAGTCGACTTTTCGTTTCAACTACAGAATCCTTATTAATCCCCATTTGGTATACAAATCGCCTAATTGATAGCGTTCGACTAGCGTCGACTTTTTTAACTAAATGCAAAAAGTCGACTTTTCGACTTTTTGCATTTTATGAAAAGTGGATTTTTCGACTTTTTTCATTTAATTAAAAGTCGACTTTTAGGCTTTTCGACTTTAAGTATTTTATAAATAGTCAACCTTTCGACTTTTCGATTTTTTTCGACTTTTTGACTATTTTCGAAAATTTTTTGACTTTTTTCGAGTTTTTCCGACTATTTTAGAGTTTTTGACTTTTTTTTTTCCACATTTTTAAAATTTTCGAATATATTTGACTTTTTTCTACTATTTTCGAGTTTTCGACGTTTTCCGACTTTTTTCGACTTTTTTGACTTTTAACGACTTTTCGATTTTTTTCGACTTATCGACTTTTTTCGACTTTCGACTTTTTTCGACTTATCGACTTTTTTCACAGACGATAGTCGAGTTATCGACTTTTTTGGAACAAAATAGTCGACTTCGTCTTTTCGACTTTTTTGGAACAAAATAGTCGACTTCGACTTTTTTCGACAAAAAGTCGATTGTTCGATTATACGAAAGTCGATTATAGTATAAATCTCAGCACTGAATATGTATAATGAACTTTTGAACGAAACTTTTAGTGTTGCCACACATCAGAAATACACTTATTATAGATCGTGAAGGTGAAACATTATAAAAATTCCCTTTTAACATTACCGTTAATTTAAAAATGTTTGTTGTTGAAAGTAGATCCACCTTCGAACTACATATTTTACTAAAAACTCTTTTTCGTAAAAAAACAAAATTTTCACCAATAAAACCAATGTTTTTATACTGACATAAAATATTTTCAAACTAATTCATATTATTTTTTTTAATTATTTATTTATTCGTTGTTAAAAAATAAAGAAACAAATTGTTTTTTTTTTATATTTCTAAATATTTTCATTAAAAAAATTACATATACATTTATGCATTGTACATATTTATGTATTAATATATTGTATTAGTATTAGTATGTATGTATATTTACTAAGCTAATTTTTTATTTTATTTTAAATAACTAATTAATTTTGTATATTTTTCTTTTAAATTTTGTATTAAGTTTTTTTTGTGTGGGTAATTTTTAACAAAGTTTATTTTTTAAAACTTAAAGCCTTTTAATAATTATATAAAATTACAATAATTTTCAAAATTTGGTATAATAATTAATTAAGTTTTTGTTTTATTTATTGGTTATAATGTTGGTGATGAAATTTTTTTGCATTTTGCATTTAATTGAGTATCCAAAATGTTTCGATGATATGTGAATTGAAATTATTATTTTCAAATAATATGTATAATTTTAAATAATTTTTAATTCTTTTAAAAAATTTTCATTAACTTTTACAAAATTAAATGTTTTCTTTTTTAAACTCCATAAAACTTTTTAATAACTTTAAAAAATACTACTATTCACCCTAATCTGAAGGAATATTACTAATCACTACTCGATATAACACGATATTTTTATACATATCATTAAATATATTAATTTGTTCATTCTATTTGTAACACATCGAAATATAAGTCGTAGACCCACAAAAATTTAATATTCTTATACAATTTTAAGCCGATCTAACAATTTTTGTCCGTTAGAGCATAAACGAGAGAAGCTAGAGGACTGAAATTGAATTTTTAACGGGGTTTTCCTGTATGTCTGGAAGGAACTATACTCAGAAACTATCTAAACAAAAATGGGTTGACTGACAATAGTGGGCGAGGCACCGTCCATATAAATTATATTAGTTTATCTGTGAAAATATAACAGCTAGAATTCTAAATTTTTGTTGGAAAACCTTTAGTGTCAATATGAATATTTAAGACAAAAATGGGTGGGCTACCAATATGGGGCGTGACACCTCCCATATGAATTGAATACGTATATCTGAGAAATCATTATATCTTAAAATTTAGCATGATTATCTTTGACATCCATGTGAACGTTTGGATAATAAGTTAGTGGATATGTAATAAGAGGCGTGGCACCACCCATATGAATTAAATACAAAAATTCGTATATCGGGGAAACCATTAGAGCTAGAATCTCAAAATTTGCACTAGTAAAATTGAAATACATATGACAAAAATGGGAGAACTTGGAATAGTTGACACACTGGCAATAACTAGTGTTCATATAAAAGTTATTAATGCTGAATTTTATAGGGTCAAATTGGGCCCGATCATTAAGAAAATCGGAATTGTCTCTTATACTTAGTTGTACAGACTTTAGATGATATACTAACATGGTTGAC